TTCGTTTCTTTCCTTTAATTTTTAAAAAAGAAAATTAAATTTAGTTATGTAATGTATACACTATACATTTAAATTAATATATTCGAAAATTATTAACATTGTAAAACCATGCTGCGATTACATTACGGCTACATCACCAATGGATATACCAACTACAAAATCACAAAATAGTTACGCAGTGTAAAATAGAAGCTGAATGCTTCTGTTTTTCGTGTAGTGGATGTATAACTTCTTTTTTATAGGAGAGGGGGCAAACGAGCATGCGGCTCACCTGATGGTAAGTGACTACCGCCGCCCATGAACAACCGCAACACCAGGGGAATTGCAGATGCGTTGCCGGCCTTTTAAAAAGGAGTAGGCTCTTTTCTTGAAGGTCCCTAAGTCGTATCGGTCCGGAAAAATCGCTGATGGTAATCGATTCCACAAGGAGGTCGTGCGAGGAAGAAAACATCTTCTAAATCGCACAGTGGTGGACCGCCAATCATCCAGATGGTGTGGATGGTATCGGGAGTTCGGTCGCGTTGTGCGTTCGTGAAATTTGGCGGCTGGAATTTATCCGAACAATTCCTCAGAGCACTCCCCGTGGTAGATGCGAAAGAAAATGCAAAGGGATGTAACATCTCTTCGCAGTGCCAATGAATCGAGCCGATCGGAAAGGAGTCGGTCGTCGACGATTCGAGCCGCTCTGCGCTGGATGCGGTCAAGTGGAAGGAGCTGGCACTGGGGAGCCCCTGCCCAGAAATGGGAACAGTATTCCATGTGAGGCTGAACCTGCGCCTCGTAAAGTTGCAGGCGGTGTGCTGGCATGAAATACTGTCCCGCTCTGCTGAGCACGCCAAGCTTTTTAGAGGCCAATTTAGCCTTCTCTTCCAAGTAACCACGAAACTGCACGCCACTCGATATGTCGACTCCGAGGATTCCGATACTGCCTGAGGCAAGAAGGGAAGTGCCTTGAAACTGAGGAGATACGACAAAGGGGTTCTTTTTAGCGGTAAACGCGCAAACTTGTGTCTTCTGAGGATTAAACTGGACTAAATTTAGTCGCCCCCAATCCGAGACTTTGTTCAGCAAAGACTCGACTTCAGACACAAGTTTGTACCGGTACTCGGCGACGTTTTCCCGAGAAATATTGGCATGGCCGGTGTATAGAGCATCACCAGTGCTGTCATCCGCATAGCAATGAATGTTACCAGTTAGCAACATATCATTGATATGCAGAAGAAACAGCGTTGGTGATAGCACACAGCCTTGTGGAACACCAGCGTTAATAGGCTTGTAGTCAGAGCATGCACCGTCTACAACGACCTTGATGCTCCGATATGCAAGGAAGCTGGTGATCCAATTGCACAAAATCGCTTAAAACATTATTGTATTTTATTTAACTTCATGAATTTTATGCGGTTCTCACTAATATTCAAAGAATTTATCGAAGTAGCCTTTCGTATACAGTACAAGCATGTATATTTATAATAATACTAACTCGCCAGGCAGACGTTGTTCTGCTCTTTTCGACGACCCTTCATATAAAAATCCTTAAATTCGTAATAAAAAATATTGAGCGTCACTTATCAGGATAAAAACTATCCTATCTCTCAAGTTGGACCAAACTGCACAGATTGTGTAAAATTTCATTGAAATCAGTTTAGTAGTTTAGGAGTTCATCCCGGACAAACAACGTGACACGTAATTTTTATATATAAAGATTTATATATGGAAATGGGGTTTTGTGTTCAAGCAGTAAAAAGATACAATATAATATTTACACTGATATGTACAGAATGATTGCAAATGATTCATCAAATTTGACATAATCACTCGTATAATGTCTAGGTACTTAATAATAGTATAATAACCAATAAAAAGAGCATATTTTGAAGTTTTATTGTATTTCACTAGATTCATTGCCACCAGGTGACAGAGTAAATGGCAAGTTGAAAAATTGCGACTTATCAACGAAAAGCATTTTGTGTATTGTGCAATAGAAGACTGCTACTACTACGTAGTGTGCGTTCAGAAGACAATACAGCATACAACAGCCAACCCAATAAAATATTCTGAGGTGGTATCGATAGTTTAAAGGTACACGTTGCATCTGTAAAGGAAAAGGCTCCGAAAAACCAGGTATTCTAGTAGAAAGGAGAGCGTCGGACCTTACAATTTGTGACTTGACTTATTTTCTTCAGGGAAACGTGAAAGGCAATGTTTACGTGCCACATTTGCCGCAATATTGACTGAACTCACTGCTGCGCTGGTGAAGAATGAAAAGGGCATGCACGAAAATGTATGGGTTGAACTTGACTATTGTATGGATGTTTGCTGTGTTACACGAGGAAAGCACAAAGAACATTTATAATGGATGTGTATGAAACTTGATAGTTTGCTTTTTCATAAACATGTCATTCACTATTTTTTTAATAATCATTTCTAATCATGCTGTACGTATTTAGAATTTCTTTATTGATTGTGTCATATAGTTACAATGAATGTTAACATATTCAAAACGAAAATTGTATAAAATTACCTGCAACTCGACCAAATAAACATATTTATTCAAATCTTCCTTATATCTATCCAGTGAAACTCTACAGATTTCCAGCTGTTCTTCTTGTGTTTTTACTCTAGCAGCCAAAAGACCTTGAATACCGAATGCTTGACGTTCTCTGAGAGTAAATGCTAAACCCTAAGAAATAGATTTATTAGTAAGAGCTAGAGGTCCGTCTGTGTTGATAGGTACTTAGTAATTCGTTTTACGCATAGTAGGAGAAACAATTTTCATGAAACTCTCTGCTTAGTATTCGATCGGTTATTCCATTTATTTCCCTTGTTTAATTATGCTGTTTTTGTCTATTTATTTTCCTAACATCATTTATACTTCCCGATATCAAAATACTGCAGCTTTACTAATATAAATATTCTAAGTAACCCGGCGTGTGATAGAAAGAGCTATGCTGGGAGTTACTCAGGTGAATAAAATAATACGTAATAAAGTAATCCACCGGAGAACCCAGGTCACCGACATGGCCTTCTCTATTTGTAAGCTGAAGCGGCAAAGAGCTGGTCATATCTCTCGCAGAAGTGATAACCATTGGAGTAGACGTGTCAAAGAGTGCAAACCGTGCTTAGATAATGAATGTACTGTGGGATGCACTCAGGCTGAATGAAGTGATGACCATGGGAGAGGTTTAAGCCCAACGGTAGACTGCCGCATTCTGATGGTGATATTATTATTATATCAAATTAAAAAAAAACATTTGAATATCAAAGCATTTCATATGTACAATACGATTTTACTTTTTAGATCGAAGGAAAGTAAAACAAAGAACAAGTTTATGAAGCTTTAACACGACGTACTAATAACATATTATGTTTGTAAGAAAACCCATAATTACTTAAGAAATAATTAAAAGCTTTAGTTATAGGTATGCTCAAAAAAACACTGACACCTCTGTTTCTGAAATTAGCTTAGAGGTATGTTGTATTGAAGTATGAGAATTAAAAACGACATAAAAACAGCATAATGGTCTCTGATACAAATTTTACAAGGACCAAAATTACCAAGGCTAATGAATAAGCCTATTAATGACCAAGGCTAATCGAAATTCTGTGTCCGAAATAAGACAACTATCGTCGGTTTTACTTTTATCATTATCAAACATAAGAGATTATGTATATAGAGATAATTTATTGTAATTTAGCAAATAGGGCCAGCTCCGTAGTTGCGGCAATCTAGGATATAAAACAGTTCATTTGCCGTGGCCTGCACACTGAAAAGATTTTGATTTTCCGTACATTTTTAATTTTTTTTTTTAAAGCAAACACCATTTTACTTATGTTGATATTTTGAGAAACAAAGGAATCGATAATAATGTAAATTACCTTGTTCAGTCGAGGGTCTCTTAAATGGTCTATCCCTCTAGTCATATTTATAGAGATCGTGTCACCAATAACTGTGTTAAGGTCACGTCTATGCTTGAAGGAAGGATCACATAGCAACAAATATTTGATCCAACAATAGCGCGTGAAGCAAGTTCTATTTACTACTCTTACTGAACGCCTAAAATGAAACAGAAATATCCTATTAAATAATATTTTTTTTAAATACTAGTAATGCTATTAAACTTTACTAATATTCCCTTTAACTTAAGCTTTAGCTTAAGATGCTTGTGTTAGAAGTGGTTCACGACAGTAATCGCATGGCGGATTCGAACCCACGACCTTTCGAGTTCGCGGTCCGCGTCCTGCCATTAGGCTACTGACGCTTCATAATATATTAATGGTTAAGTATATATAAAACATATTGTTAATTGTTTTTTACTTTATTTAATATTATCTTTATTTATTATTTTAGCACAGATCCAAAAGGACCTTATGATTTGTGGTGATAGTTTGTGCCTACACATTGGTTACCTACCACGGACCACAGCCAAAAAATTGATGCGTATTAATTTACAATGTAATATAAATTTATAACGAAGTACCTGACAATAATGTATGTAAGTACAGTAAATATTAAATGTATCATTTACTTACGACAAATGTGGATAACAAGCAGGAATCATCATTTTAGAAATAATGAGTTTTATGATAAAAGAAAAATCATAAAAATGACCATTTAGTTCAAAACTTCATTTTTGACGTTATAAATACTTCTCTATTCTATCAAATTTGACATTAATAAATGAAGAAGGAAATTTGTTGTGATAATCTACAAACCAAAGACTAAACGTAGTGGTTATATTCTCTTTGCCAAAGACATTTAAGTAGTAGTAATAGACCGGACATCAGCAACAAAATTGTCACCTCTTACTTATGAAATATAGCAGGGGTGGCCAACTTGATTGGACCCAAGATCTCTTGTTCACTAACGAGACCCTGTGCGATCTACCACTTCTAGAAATCTTATATAAAACAGCATAGTTCAGTACACAATCATGTAGCATTTTTTTTTATTAAGAGAAAAAACATAAATGTGAAAATTATACTACTTATTTACATATATATTAGTGTGAGCATTGCATCTGAGTATCTTCCACTAGTTTAGCATAATCAGGTTTGTAGTTGGAGATTGCCAACCTTAAAGAATCCAATGTATGAGCGTCTGTCAAGCGAGAACGGTGTTTACTTTTTGTTTGCTTTAAGTAGGAAAATGCTGATTCACATAAATATGTTGAACCTTGAAAAATATCCAAATTCTTCAAATTTGGATATTTTTCTTTAGAAACCAATGCCCAGAAATTTTGACCTGAGGATGACTTTGCTTTAAGAAATATGTCGCAGCGCAGAGTAATAATTTCGTTTTGTAACATCATGTGCTCCATTTGAAATGTATCTGCAAATTTTGTAGCCAATTCATAGATATCACTATGATCAATGGAATCATTGAACGGATAACTGATGAATTGAACCAAGTTCTCAATTTTTCTGAAATCACCAAAGCGAATTTCGAAGTCTGCTACCACTGCTCTAATTTCTGTCATATATTTCTTGGAAATGAAATTGTAGTTAGGATGTTTTTCCATATGATCCTTGATGTTAACAAATTGTTCAAATTTTTTCTTCTCTATGTCAACTATCATAGACGATATTTGACATTGAAACGATGCAATGGAACTCATCATTTCTGTTAATGTTTTATTCTTGCCTTGTAGATTCAGATTTAATGTACTCAGTTTTCCAGTAAAATCTGCCAAAATAGCTAAATCACATTGCCAGTCTAAATCATGCAATTGCTGATAATCATCACCCCTTTCATCAAGAAATTTTATTATTTCGTCCAATAGATCTCGAAATCTTTACAAAAACTTGCCTCGACTCAACCACCTCACTTCAGTGTGCATTGCCAATTCTGGTTCCTTCTCATCTAATTGCTGTTTAAAGAGCCGCCTTTGGAGGGATTTTCCTTTTATGGAATTTACAATCTTAAAACAAATATCCATCACATGTTTCGTGTTAAATCTCTTAATAGCCAGTACTTGTTGATGAATTATGCAGTGGTAGCTAATGAAGTCTGGAAAATCTTCGTCTTTATGTCAAAGAGCAATAAAACCATTATGAATACCTGTCATTGCAGGAGCTCCATCAGTTGTCATTGATACGAGTTTATACATGCATAGCTTAATCTGGCAAATATATGCTTTGAATTCCGTGAATATATCAAGGCCACGAGTTTTTCCTTTTAAGGAAATCATACCTAGCAGTTCTTCTTTGGTCGAGAAATCTTCGAAGACCATCCGAATAAAAACAAGTAATTGTGCAGTATCCGTGACATCTGTTGACTCGTCAAACAGAAACGAAAAAGCAACGCAGAGGGCGATATCTTTTTGTAGTTGTTCGTTTAAGTTTTTACTTATTATTTCTATACGGCGCATTACAGTATTTCGCGACAGCTGTAATCCATGAACAGCTTTTTTAATTTCGTTTTTATTTTTGAAATTCACGAACAGCGAATCTGACACTTCTTCGAAGATTTCTTTGATGTATTCTCCATCGGAAAAAGGTTTGCACTTTTGTGCAATTCTGTAGCTTACTTGGAAAGAAGCTTCAGTTGCAGCTTTACTTTGCTCAATAGGCCTAGAAAACATGTTTTCTAGGACTTTTAATTGCGATTTCAGTGCTTGCAATTTACTCTTTCTTATTTCGCTGTTAGGTGGAAAGTCAGTCTGATATTTACTATGCATTGTGTTAATATGTCACTCTAAATTTCCTTTTTTGGGCATTGCCAGGGATGTATTGCATTTTAGGCAGCAACAGTTTTCTTTCACCATAGTAAAGAAGTAGTCCAATTCCCATTCTTGGTGAAAATGATAAGTTTTTGATTTCTTTGGAGCACATTTATCAAGAATCTGTAAAAAATGAAAATAAAATATTAGGAACATAATTTGTATAATAACAAATGTAGAAATACAATTTAATGAGAATATATTTCGTAACGATGGCACAAAGTTAACGAGTGAACAATATTTTCTAGTTTTTTACCCACTTACTAGGTGGATAATTCGTTTGATCCACCGAGTACCTATCTAAAATAATAAGGCACTGATTTAAAGAGGCAGTTGTAAATTCGTGATTCTTGTAGTATAGGAAAGTTATTGAGAGGTCTGTTTACAGTAATAACAATATTAAAAATATTAACTTACTTTATTTGATGAATCACTTATCCATAATGTACGTAAACAAATTATGATGTGTGCCTAATACAAAGTCTAATCGTGTTTTACATCGACAATCGTTGAAACGACGTAACCCCGGTAGTCTCTGTCGTCAACTGTCATCTGACTGACTGAGACTCTCCCGTCCCACCCCCGCATCCCACACGCTTCCCGCTTATTGGTCATCGCACGCCGAAAACAAAAGACTATACTTCGTAAAATAGAGGATAAATACCGTGACGGAACAGCGATTGAAAAATTATACAAGATGATGCGTCCAGCAGTAGGTGATTACGTTGGGCAGTCTGGTCTACGTATTTATATTTTTTGCCTTGCCACGATCGACTGGACTAACGATCGGCCGGTTGGCCACCCTTGAAATATAGGAAATCACTTTATAAATAAAGATTAGTAGTGTTCGCGTAAATATATAGAAATAATTTAAAAAAATGTGTTTATTAATCACTCAGGTTGTGCTTATCACTGCATAAGTAAAGATTATATTTATTTATATTTATGACTTAGCGGAAAATAGATAATTTTATATGTTTTATATGATAATAGAATATATTTTACGCATCGAGATATTACGTACATACACATTAGACTTCAATGATTTGTCATACAAGATTTGAACAAATGAAATTCCAAAAGCTGCCTTAATAACACGTATCCTATTTTATTTTAACCAGCCATATACTGCAGCGTCAATAGTGCAATATAGCTAGTACTGCCTCCAATAGTCCTCCGATAGAGTGTGGCGATTATGTTGTAGAAAGGAACAAATCCTTCTTAAAATGTGGGTTTATGATGTAATTAATAGAATCAGGCGTTACTTTGCGGAAATCCATTATATAAAAGCTTTTAGAAAAATTTACTTTGCAAATATCCGCGTTATAAAATAAAATGATGTGTCTTACCTAGTATGAAGAGCACCTCCCGCCCTCCCTCAATTGCGTGCACTATCCCCGTCACCACTAATCCCAGCACCGCTACTCCCAACACCACTACACTAGGCAAGACACACCACTGACGATAATACGACACGTGTTTCGCCTCTACACGGGGCATCCTCAGGTGATATAGACTCTACGGTAGCTAACCGCTAAGTGAGCGGCGAGCCAAAACAAGTGCCTTTTATACAGACCGATGATGCAACCGTTCTCTACCTAAGGAGCGAGCGACTGCGTCATGCGATAAAACATGCGACCAATCACCGCTGGACTTACGCAGCCGTTTGTAAAATTAAAAACAAACCGCCTCGCAACGCCCACCCTCCAACCACGCAACCAATCGGCGATCACCGTGAGAATGACAAACGACCATATTGCGAGGCTCTCTATTATTAGAGAGCAGGCTTGAAGATATTTAAGAGAGGTGAGTTAGTAACATTTGTTTGTTCATTCAGCAATGCAACGGTATTATTATTACTTTTTAATATCTCTAACTGTTCCAGCACACACAGCCGCAGCCCTTTATTACACGTATGTAAGACTTTAAAGGAGTGGTCGTTGGTTGGTTGGTGTCCAAAAGATGTTTGGCAAAATGGGATTTATCGGGATTGCAATTCCTGTACGCGGCTAAATGCTCGTGTCTCGAAATTGCGACCAGTCTGACCCACGTAAACGGCGTGGCATTCGTCACAAACAAGTTTGTAAACACCTGACTTTTGACGAATATCCAACTTATCTTTATTATTACAGATATTTCTAAGAGAATTGTTTGTTTTGAACGCCACATGAACGCCGTTTTGTCGAAGAGTATTAGCTACTTTTTCAGATATGGGGCCTAAGTAGGTCAAACTGCTCACATATCGATGACCACTTTGAGGTTGAACCGCGTACAGAGAGTTGCGAATAACATGCTTTTGTTCCTTTTTAATTAAATTGTTAATGAGATTTTTTGAAAAACCGTTAGAGACCGCTATTTGATAAATTATATTAAGTTCTTTTAAATAATTTTCTTTACTTAATGGGACAGTGAACAAACGGTTAATGTAACAATAAAAAGCGGCTACTTTATGTCGCCACGGATGACATGATGACGCGGGGATAACCGTGTCGGTATGAGTTGGCTTTCGATAAATTTGGAAAACATGTGACGATTCTTTTCTTGTTATTGTTAAGTCGAGAAAATTAAGGGAACAATCTTGTTCCAATTCAAGTTTAAATTTAATTTTGTCATGGACTCTATTTATTTTATTGAGGAAAACATCCAGTTGTCTCCTTGTGCCAGTCCAGCAAATAATTATGTCGTCTACATATCGATAGTAATATAAGATATTTTGATTGACAACTATATGTTGTTTTTCGAAATTATCCATGAAAATGTCCGCCATAAGGGGACTTAGAGGGGACCCCATAGCTAACCCTTCTTTTTGTAGATAGAAACAGTTATTAAAACGGAAATATGTAGTTTTGTTTCATACAGAGAGAGGTTAAGTTAAGAAGATCATTTGTTTCCCCGGGATGTAGACGACGTTTTTCAAAGAGATCTGCAAGTATATGCAAACAGTCAGGGGATGGGACATTTGTGAAAAGACTATCAACGTCTGAAGATAACAATATGGATTTAGGAGGAATACGAATATCTTTAATTTTGGAAACGAGATCTAAGCCATTTTTTAGGCTGTAAGTGGGGTTAAATCCAGATTTCTCTCGAAGGAGGAAGTTTAATTTTTTAGCAAGGAAATAAGCTGGTGCACCAATATATGAGACAACTGGACGAATAGGGACATGCTCTTTATGTATTTTTGGTAACCCATATAAAATGGGTGCTTGAGGATTCATTGGAACAAGATTGCTCCGAGACAAGTTGTGATCGGGAAAAACATATGATGACTGTTGTATACATAACTTTATATCCGAAGTAAACTTTTTGGTTGGGTCAGACTCCAATAGCTCAAAGTCATCACCTTGGATAACATCGTTAACTTTCTGGCTGTACCCACTACTCTCCATAATAACAACAGTATTGCCTTTATCGGCTTTAGTAACAATAAGGTCGTTTTCCCTTATTCTCTGCTTTAGGGACTTAAAAACAGGGAACTCAGGATTGAAATGGGAAGATGCGGGCACAGCCCGAATTTCATTAGCTACCAAACTTTTAACGATGTTATCTTTCTTCCCGATCACAACAGCCATCTCCGCGTCAACAGCCACAGTCTCTAACGATTTTTGGGAGACCGAAGGTGTTAAATTATATTTTAGGCCTTTATGTAAAAGGGACAACTCATCTGTTGGAAACTGGACATCGGAAAGATTTTTAACTCGGGGATAAAATTGGTGATATTCTGTATGTATGTCGTTATTACGATTACGGGATGAAGAGGATACAAGTCGTTGTAATTTACGGGACTGAATTTGATATTTCTCATAAACAGCCATTGAAGCAAGTTCTCTGGCTTTCCCATCCAAAATATCAAATTCAATATTATGTAATTTATATGAAAGTTCAGAGTATAATACTTTAAGGTGGATTTTTAAATTATCTCTATTGGAAAACCAACGACGACACTTCTCATTAAGCCAAATGTTCTGAGCTTTAGAAATAGCAATACTGGCCGCTCGACTATTTGTGCTGGAACGTATTTGAATATAATTGGGAATAACATGAAGTTGTTTGCACTG